ACCTGCTGGAATAATCTTTATCTACCAGATGCCACTTTGAAGCAGAACGATGCAGTTTATAGATCCTGATGGCAATTTGCACTCTATGCACATTCTCACTAGCACATTTTACAGCAAGGTAGCTCCTTGCTAGAGTCAGGCTCTTTACCTTAGTTCTACAGTCATAGTCCAAAGCAAGCAGTCCTCAAGCCCTTCTTCCTCTCTACTTCTTGCCCTGCTGGTAGGAAATTTTATTTTTCTAAGGCATACTGCTTCCAAGTCATGTTAATATCAGTTCAAAGGGGATGAAGCATAGCACAGCTCTCTCCACATCCTGTAAGGAATGGCTTCCACCTGCCCAAAGACAGCTGAATCCATAGAAAGTACCAGTCAAAAATTCTTCTCATTTTTTTGTGTATTGTTATTTGGTAAAGTATTTGGACATTGTGAAAGACCCTGTAGTGCAGTAAAGCCTGCAGAGCATTGGTATCAAGGGGAAAAAATCCCCCACACATTAATTTTATGAAAGGAGCCCTTCTCAGGACTTTTCCCTTGAACGTACCCAAAGCGCAGCTCTGCACGCTCCAGTTGTGAGAAAAAAAGGTGGCAGTGGGCTAACAGACACACAATCTGTCCTTTTTCAGTAATTCCTAAAACCACGTTGAAATCTCAGGACCTCTTCAGAGAGGCTGGAGCAAAGACATAGTAACACAGTGAACTTAGAAAATCAGGTCTGTGGCATTTGAATTATCTGTACTGATCCAAAAAAGGATAAAGGTCATAGTTTTTAGGCTCCAAGAGACATCGTAACTACAAAATAACCAGGTCAACCCCAAGTTAAGTGGCAAGCTCAGGCTACTCACAAGATACTTGCTCTTCTCGTCTGTGTTACCAGTGCTCAGAATGTCACCTGTACTATACAAGGTGTCTGCTAGTGACAAACCATCTGGGTATAAAGTCTTGTTAGAGCCACAGAGGAAGCTCGTTTGTAGAAATAACAAATGGAACAGGCAAGACATCTTTTTAGAATCATGGCCATCTGCCAATTTAAGCCACTTGATTAGAGAAATAGGCACTTGATCAAATTCTAGAGGTCACCACTGCCCCATAAAGAGTGGCGATGAACTGTGGCATTAACTGAGGATCTGTCTGGACCAAAGGCAAAAATAAATCTAGAAAACCCACAAAAAAACCCCCACAGCATGATCCATTGAGAATAACAAGGAACTCACTATCCCTCAAGCCTATCACTCAGTAAGACATTTTCAGATACAGGAGGTATAGCACTAAAGCCATCACAACAGAGCCAAGGCACTGCCACAGCTTATTACTAGTGCAGCTCCAGGTAGCACAGCTCACTTCAGGTACAACCAGCACCTTCTGGAATAATTTTCACAGGTGATACTATTGTCCTAGCATGTTATTCACACCTAGAAACTAAAGCAATTACTCATGGCTGAGAGTAGATACACAGTACAATTACCAGAGTGGTGCACTGAAAAAGGACTGGCTTTAAGAAGTCGGTCTGTGCCTAGTCGGTCAATGGAACAAGACAGACTGCTTCAAAAAGACCTAGTTTCATCTACGAATTAAGTGTCCTTAAGTTGCTGCAACTGTATTTCACTGCTTCTTAAACCACGCATCAGGGAGTGTCATTCGAGAATGGGTTTTGGAAGTCAGAATTGCCAAGCAGAACAGAGTGGTTTTATCTTCCCCACCTTGGATAGTGCAACTGATTCCATGCATTGAGAAGCTATACTTGCCTCATCCTTCTGCCAAGCCCATGTATGGATACCACCTTCATTAAAAAGAAATCAGAATCTATGTGCAAACTCATGTCCTTGTCTATAAGAACTTTTATGGTTATAAAAGTTGGTGTGAGGTGAAAATATCAAGGCAAACATTCCTCCCATCTAAATGCAGGCTCCTGTAACTTATCTTCAGCTGCTGTCATAAAAGTTGGCAGCATAAATCCAGACCCAAACATCCATCATTTATATGGAAAATTCTACTGCAATCAAGACAGGACAGCAGCACCTTGCTTTGCATTTAAAAAAAAATAAATTTGGCTTTAAGGACTGCAGTTGTCAAAGATTAACTAAAAGCATCATTGTGTAGGTAAGAAGCAGCTGAGAAATCTGGCAAAATGAAACTGAACTTGCAACCGCTGACTGGCAAGAATCACACTCACAGAATTTTAAGACCTTTTTGGCACATGGCAATTCATGTCCATGTCCTAGTCATTCCCACACCGACAACCAGGTCCACAGCACGTAATGCCAGAGCAGACATGCAGTATGCAAGAACAGCCAGCAGTCAGCCAAACCAGCTCTAAGCAGTCAGCGTAGGCTGAAGCTGGTTCAAGTGTTTGTCTCTGTTATCACATCCTTAGGTTTGTTTGAATTCCACAGATGCAACACAAAGGTTATATTTAGTGACTAATGTAGTTTGACACAGAGAAGCTTAGGAGCCTCTTTTTTTGTAATCAAGTAGGAAGAAACCTGCAGCAGTACAGGCCTGTCATAAAAACCACTGCTACGCTTCTTTTCTTTGCAAGGCCATTAAAAAAAAATTCAAAGTCAACCCTGACCTTCATTATTGTGTCTCTAGGTGAGCAGACCCAGAAAAGTGATAAATTAAAAGGCAGGTAAGTCTGTAGTTGCTTCTGTTATGGGGCTATGAAGGTTTGGTGTGCCTGAAAATCTGCCCCTTCCTTTCTCAGAATCGGTCTAGTAAGAAATTATTTGTCTACACAAAGTTACCTATCCCCTCCTTGTTAGGCCATCAAAGCTTCTGCATCTCCTGAACTTTTATAATGAAACTACTGAAGTAAGAAGTTAAGGTCTCTAGAAGCATGTTCCAGCAACTATTGTTTCCTATTACAGGTCCCCTGATCTGCTTAGTGGACTGTAAAAATCATGCTTTTAATGCACAGTTACACAAGGATACAGGAAAAGAAATACTCAATATTGCTCTTTATCCTGAGGATTTCTAAAGCCTGTTTCAGTTCTGAACAGACAAGAGGTACCAGCCAGTGGAACAATACTGTTTTCTTACATCAGATCACAAAGAAGAAAGCTCTGAGCAGCACTAAAGACTTGAGCCCTATTTACTCAATCACAATTGGCAGAGCTTCCTTCATATTCAGTTCATCACCAACCTCTTCTCTAACACAGAAACTGAAATTACGCCTTTATTGAAAAGAGTTTCTGTTCCCCAACCTGTTATTCCCTAACATATACGAGCCGTCAGCCTTATCGGACATGCCACCTACTATACTGCTGGAAGAACAGTCATGGAAGAGGATCTGTGGCACTACTTGTCAGTACATGCTTCACTTTCTTCATGCACAAGCTCAAACAAGACAAATTCAAGGCTTTGGGAATGTCTTTTGCTGATGCACACACGTCTGATGGGAATTGCCTAAACCTGCATCCAGCTTTTACTCCATCTATAAATTACTGCATTACAGAGTAGGAAGGGATTCCAATTCTAGCTGATGCATCATTGTATGGGTTATCACATGGTAAGATCTAGTTAGACTAAGGGAATCTATGTTATTTTCTGACACAGCAGACTCAAGGCGAGACTGTACAAACATACCGATTTATACATAGCCTTGTTATTCAATACTGATTTATCCGAGTGACCAGTCTCATGCCTGCCACTGCAGCTAAGAATAAAACTCATGGCAACATGATTGGCTACTAGTTTGATAACCTGGAAAACTGGAATCGCAGTAATGCATAAAATTAACTTTTATTTCTTTAACAAAGCGCAACTCCCTGTAATTCTCCAACATCCAATCCGTTTTCATATAACAAACAACATACTCTAAATACCAGAGTCCAAATGGTGTTCTTGGCTACTCTCAACCTCCCCTACCCTGACCCGTCACAACTTTGTTCTAGAGCAGATCAGAAAAAGTTAAGGGACTAAATTTAGTAATATGTGGTTTGTGTTTTAACTAACAACACAAGCTGCCTTAAGGATACAGCAGAATATTAACCAAGTTGTGTTTTCATCAGAAACAACCAAGAAGGAACACCTTTAGAATTACCTCCATTGCCAAAAAGCTCACGAAGTAGCACAAGATACTGAGCATTTCTGAGGTAGATAGATAAATACAGGTATCAACTTGCCAACTTGCTTTCATCACTTACTCTTTCAGAGCAACAAACTACTCCACTAAAAGGAAGCTAGCAGGGAAGGTAGAGATATGGAAAGCCTAATTCCACATTTAAGGGAAGAGAGATTTAGATTCCCATTCAGGGAAAGCATATTTACCAGAATGCTCTTTCCTCAATTAAAAATGGATGCTTTTTAAATGATTGTGATGATAAAAAAATCACGCAAGGGAACCATACCTGCTTTCTAGGCTTAGCCTGTCACAGTACAAACAGTACTGTTGAGTTCATTGCCTGAATCATCCTGCTAATTGGAAAAATGCAGAAGTGCATCCTACTCCTTCAATTACTCACATGCTATTTAAATGGCTACACACTCATGTTCACTAATGCGAAGACAGCTTTGTTTATGGTGATGTAGTTGTTACTCACCTGATTACATGAAGGTGGAATAAGCCAAGACTTTTGTTCAGTAGTGTCAACAAGGAGCTTAAGCAAGAAACAACATATTGAACCAATACTATCCTTAAGTTCCTTTACGAGCTACTTAAAGCGAGGGCACAGATGTGCACCAAACTGTGCACTACACGCAGGTGGTTGCATCGAGCTGCCCAGCACAGCGTGTGCTCCTTATGGCCGTTCCTGGTTGTCTGGGAGGAACGGCCAGAGAGAAGCTCTCTCCAAGCTCTCACAATCAGACCAGAGTAACAAGCTGTTGTACCAAATCAGAGCAGTTAACAAACCTTTCAGTTTGTTAACAACCAAGACCACAAACCACCATTTAGGACTAGAAAGGGCAAAAATCAACACTTAATTAAAAAAAAAATCCTGCGATGTGAACAAAGCTAGTAATGTAACTTGTATCACTAAGCATAAGGCTCATTAAACACTTACCAAGGCAAGATTTCTGCACCTAGCTTGGCTGCCACGATTTTCCACGCCGCCACCCCTTTCCATGCTCCCAAGTGCGTGCTTTGGAGAGATTTCGGATGCCATTTCAGGAGACTCTGAGATGAGATTTCTAGGCATCACACCCTCTTGACTTATCGATCCTGATGCAGCACAGAATGCCATCAGCGTATTACGTAGGGCTGCTAGCTTTATTCATTTCTGAAAACAGAGAACAACGTGTTATATTCAAATCTGTTTTTTAAAATATTTTAAAAGGAATGGAAAGTAAATAGTAAAAAGGGTCTCACACAAGTTAATAACTGGCATATTTTTATGCTTTAGAACACACCTACCACCCGTGGGCACCTTTTAAAAAAAGTTAAGTCTTATTCTAAAAGGTGACTTCAAAAATCCAATGTAGCAATGTTCTGTACCCCATCTTGTGTGCTTCCAAAACAGATGTCTGTATTCACAAGCATAGACCCTGCATACATACCTGTCCTACAGATTCAGTTTGTGTTTTCCATTATGACACATCATTAACAGTAATAAAATCCCATCGGCTGAGATGCCAACTGATCCAGTTCAAACACCTTCATCTTTTATTAGTTTTTAGACAAGAATTCTATTTATTGGATCACATGAGGGAAACAGAACCCAGTTAGTTTCCCAACACTGCTGCAGTTAACTCATGTGCTGCTGAAGCAGCTCTATGCCAACTACTTCTGGTGAAAGATCCATCAACAGAACTTCACGCCATTTTTGCACCATCATGTTACATGGCAAAACTGCATTTTAAAGCTTACAGAGCTTTTATTTCACTCAGACGTGAAGAAACAGCGCTCGTACATTTGGAAGATGCTTACTGGAACAGACATATGCACCAGCACTTACTGGAGCAAAAGCTCCCAGTTTTTCAAGCTATGCTAGTGCTCAGTTCTGTAATACTTCCCTGAATTGTCATTATCTCCCAAAACACTCTGGCAGAATTTCTTCCTTCCTTCTCAAAGCACCACAAAGACAAAAGTCATCCTTTTGCACTATCAGCACAAACAGGGGGAGGGAAAAGAAGTAGAACCTAGCTCATCTCCCTTTCCAATACATTAAAACAGCCTTCACGACGAGAAATTGCCTTGTTCTTTAACAGCCCATCCTTTCACCCACACTGCCTGCGACCAGGGAAGAGCAGTGACGCATTCCTCAAAACAGTTGGTTCTGAGGTACCACGTTGAGTGCAGCCGGCTGGGAACTGGATACCATTACCCTGATGCTGTACAAATGAAATGAGATGGTCCTGCTTCCCAAGTGCTTCTCCCTTTATTATGGGTCGAGAGGTGACATGAGAAGCAAAGTCAGGTCTGCATTTCCAATTCAATTGGATTACTTCTCCTTCCTCCCCACCCCTGCCAGCTGAGGGCTGAGAAACCAGAGCCTCCTGGTAAGCTGATTAGCGTTTCATAGCAGTGAGATAACATCTGCCAATACTGAGCAACAATTCCATCCCGCTGATCATTTCCTCCCAGGAGAGGGCTATGACATTACCAGAGGTACCTACGAACGCTCCCGGTCTATGCCGTAGCACCAACGCGTGTCCTGTGGGAAGGCTCCCACACAACGCAGCTAGGCTGCAGTCCAGCAAGCCTTGGAAGCACAATCCACATAAATAGAGTACCAGATTGCCACAATAAAAGCATCCGATAGCCTTTCCTATGGACATTAGATCTAACGATTAAGATTTAGCCTTGCTTTTACAGGAAAAGAACATTCTTCCTTTCTTCTATTACTAACATCAGCTATAAATAGATACAATGCATCCTCAGGATAATGGCCTTTAAGCGATGCCACAGCGGTAGAAACCTGCTCTCGGTCCTGGTTTTCAGAATCACAAGATAGGCAGACATGAGAGCACTGCAACAGCCACAAACCCAGGCTCAAACCAAAAAGCTATGCTGCAGAAAGCTCAACTGGAGAAGAGCAGCCCGAGCCTAGAACTCATCCTGCAACAGCAGCTCCACCTACAACAAACCCCGTGGCATTGAATAGCTACGCACGGACAAGAAGATACATACACTTTTTAGAAGGCAACATTACCAGTGAAAATGTTGACTCCTCAAATGCTACACACAAAGAAACACATGCAAAAATATATCAGTTTTAGAAGGCAAGACTATCAGAGAAAATCTTGACACCTCTGAAATTCACAGAAACTCTCACTGACTTAAGATTTCATCCCATAACTTCCAAGGTGATGTTCAGATGGAAAAAGAGTATTTTTCTACAGAGGGACCATCAAGAGGTGAGTACTCCTACTGACATCCAACATAAGGTGAGGATTATTGCTCATCAGCACTTTTAAGCTGCAACATCAATTTTTATCCAGGTGTCCTCAGTATAAAATTGAACATGCCACATTTGTTCAGTCCCTCGGTGATGTACTACAGACAACTATGAGATTTCTAGAATTATACTCAAAACTGTTTGTGAGCATTTTATAGACTACATTATGAGAGGTCACAGCTCCAGGTTACAATCGGTATCATAGACAAGACCTACATTTAAAGACTAACCAAATGAAGATATCAATCCAAGTTACCAAGAAACCAATTAATGGGCCAAAACTTTGAGGGAGAAGAAAGTACTTAAGGGTACTGTTCTACTTTTTCCAACAGCAAAACCTTAGCATAACCAGGTCTAAGCTTTCTGCATCCAGAACAGCAGGAACACCCAGATTCAGTAGTCAAACATTAAAGCCACAAGTTCTAAATACCAACAAATAACTCTGCTTCCAGCAAGCTCCTATTACTCATTTTGGAGCTCAAGCTCAGATGTTTCACAAAGCTCCTGAACAATGAAAAAAAGGCAGTGACTGCGCCTGGTTAAAGAGCCACCCACACAAGATCAAGTAGCAAGCATCGCGGCACGGGTTCTGCTTATGTGTTGTAAGGCATGGCTTCTGTAGAGGTCTTACTCATTTCAGAAAAGCTCGGGAGCTGTGTCTTCCCTTCTATCTTTCACATCATCTTTAACACTTCAAGGGTACACGTCAATAAGATCATAACCCTTTCATATATATTGTTTCTTCTCCCCTTTGCTGTGTTTTTTTTATACTTTACGGGAGAAACTCCCACATATTTGCACAGTGCCTAATGCAGTTACAGCTGGCGCGAGGTTGCCCGCACTGCTGCAATACATACCGCATGCTTTACAGACACATTCCCCTCCTAACCACAGCTAACACAAGTCCCTTCACCCTTTTTATGTCCCCTCTATTAAGTGCAAGACTTTGTGGATTTAAGACAGAAATAGCCAAGGATCTAATGAATTTCAAGAAGACCCCACTGCCTGTTTCAGTAGGACTGCCTAGGTAACAAGCAAGGGTTCAAAAATAAGGTAACCATCCTCAGAGAGAGCAAGAGCAGCAGGACGACAGGCGTTCCTGCAGTTCCACAGCAGTTCCTCCTGACCTTCAGAGATGCATTAAATATGAAAGTTGCTCACAACAGGATTTGTTGCTTGGTCTATTCAATGCATTGTAGCACAGCTTTTGGGTTTGGTTGTTGTTTTTTTTATTTTGCTTGGTTTAAGAGATGTGTGCCTGTACCATTAGGGATTAATAAGGAAAAAAAAAAAATCAGAGCATGACACAAGAGTGCAGAAGTGTGACAGGAACAGTACTATTTGGAAAGAAGATCCCAAATATTAAACCCAAAAGGCATCTTAGGGCAGTTGTGATTCTATCAGCTGAAATGATCATTTCTCTGCTTCATGAGATATCTAAAACAATACAATTCACATATCATGCATATTTGTCAGAGGGTAGTAGGAGGAAACTGAAATATTCTGAAGTTAACATTGAATTTTACCTCCAATGATTTAATTTTGCTTTGACAGAGTCACATCATTCAGAGAGACTGTATTAAGTTGCCATCAAAGATAAGGTGCGGTCTGTCCTTTTAAGACGGATATTTTTATAGTTTTGCTGACTAAGATTACTTCTCCACTGAAGTTCAATGTTAACATTTACAAGGGACTGTTTCTGTAGTAGCAGGAGATTTAAATTGTTTATTAGTAATTCTGTTTGAAGACTAGCTTAATAGGCAAAAAATCAATCCCACAAAAGTGGAAGACATTTAGAGGCTAAAAGTCAACCACTACATAAGCCAGGAGCCGAAAGCCAGCAAACAGACAGCATCATCCCATTTACCGCACACATATTTAAGGTAAGTAGAGTTGACAATTTTTAGAAAGCCATCATACATTTTTAAAAGGGCACAATATCACTCTCTCCTTCCCTCCACTATACATGCAATTTCTGGAACGCTCTTTGCATGAGCCATTTCTTAAGCTAGATTTGTAGGCCTAGACTGTACTCTGAGCAACACACACACCTTTGCCTGTTCTTAAACAGCCATTTCTCAGTGATACAACTGAAACAGAAGAACTGGCCAGTGAACTTCAAGGTTTGTTTAATCTGTCAGCTGTGTACAGACACACCAATGCACACACTCAGCTCCGTGCACGCCATCGGTCGTCTTGCACTCCATGGCGGTGCTTGAGTTCGAAGAGTTAAGCATCTGGAAAAAACATCTGAAAGTACTCGGCGGTCACTCAGAGTGTTACTGTGGGAAAGGTTTTATAAAAGTGATGGTACAGGGGCAGACTAGAGACCTGTATCTCTATTAGCCTCTGACAGTTAACAGCAGATGCCGAGGGAAGTGCACGTAAAACAAGACAAGCAGAGAGTAGGAATTCATTCAGATTCCTGCACATTGTGGTCAGGAGACCACAGGGCTTCCCAAAACAGGGCAGGTATTTGTGCCTAATAACCTGATGAATTTTTCCTCATGTTAAGTGCTCCTGCAACATACCTTTGAACCTACTGTGCAAGATCACAGCTAAACAAAACCACTGGCCCACAACACGTCTTCACTGAGCCACTGCTGTTATAAACTCCTCCAAGCTAACTGATGCAGTACTGTGGGCACATTTCCTCCTTATGAAGAGATATCAGCAACTTGATTCGTCTTCCCTCCTTCAGTATATGAAATACAGAGTAAATCCCTGAGCCTTAGAGGCAACCCATGTCCTACCCCTGTGATATACAGTAAGATTTAAGCTTTCTGGTAGAAGGATAGACCAACAGCACTGCCTACAAAGGACAAGCCTCACAGCCAAGTTGACTA